GTCCTGTCCAATAGCAAACACCAAACATGAATCAGTAGGGGCAGTCCAGTCCAGTAGCAAACACCAACCAAACACGAATCAGTAGAGGCAGTCCTGTCCAACACCAAACACCAAACATGAATCAGTAGAGGCAGTCCTGTCCAACAGCAAACACCAAACATGAATCAGTAGTAGTGGCTCAATCCAGAAGGAACCGTGAGACTCTGCCGAATTAGCACAAGTCCACAGAAGCGGCAGGAAGCAGCCGAAACACCACGAGTTTCTCTTTACGAAGTCATGACAAGTGAAGATCAATGAAGACTAGCAAAGCATGCAAGGAGGACCAATGCAAGAGCATCCTCTCACTCTCTGTAGGGTTTATTTTCTTTCTAAACATCATGCACCCTCTCAAACATCTGCTCCAGCAAAACATCACATGCCCTCTCATAAGACAGCTTCCAGAAAAGCAACACGTCTGTTCCAACAAAACATCCTCTCATGTGTCTGCTTCAGTTAAACATCCTCTCATAAGACAGTTTCCAGAGCAACATCACATGACACAACTGAGTTTCCAAAGAAACGAGAAATGTCCACTTCATCCCAGGCTGGCCTACACCTTATCTTACAGCCTGGTGTCTACCTCAGTTTCCTTCTGCTCTCCAACCAGCTGTCAGCTTCTCTGTACCTCTCTAGCCTAGAGCACTTCCAAGCTATTGCTATTCACTGTGTTCCTTTATGCACTGTTTTTTTTGTCTGTGCCTGTTGAAACTTAAGTCATGGTGTACTTGGTCCTTGGGCACTCAGAAATGCCAGGTCAGCAAAAGCTGGAAGATGCCTTGTCAAGAGACTGTAAAATTATAGTCTTGGTATTTATTTATTTAGTATTTATGTTTTCCATGACAGGTCTCATGTAGAACATGCTGGCTTTGTCATGAAGCCAAGGAGGAGCTTAAACTGTGTCCCTTCCTACCTCCCCTCCTAAGTGCTGCTGGGGTTACAACATTATACTTTCACACTCAGACCTTGGTTTCATTGTTAGAGTATTTATGTATTTCCCTCAAAGGCTGAAAGGAAGGTTATGTGATCAAAACAGTAGAGTGTATAATAGCGTTGATAGGGTTTATGCTAAAACTTTGGTGGGGTCTGTCCTTTGGTCTCCATTCCTGCAATAGACCAGATATTTGGGCATTTATAATTAACCTTTTCTATTGTGGTGTCAGGGTCACTTTACATAAGTCTGTGATCCAAAACATCAGGGCTACTCCAACAAAGGCTAAAAGCATGGAGAATATCCTACTAGCCCACAACAGATTATACAGGCAACTATTTATAATGTTTGAACAAGTACAGTTTTGTTAGTTACTCTGTCACTGCATATCTCTATCTGCATTTGCATATCTCTATCTGCATATGCATATCTCTATCTGCATATGTATATCTCTATCTGCATATGCATATCTCTATCTGCATATGGATATCTATCTACGTATGCATATCTCTACGTATACATATCTCTCTGTACGCATATCTCTATGTACGCATATCTATCTGCATATGCATATCTCTATCTGCATATGCATATCTCTATCTACATATCGATATCTTTATCTACTGGCACACAGGGAATAAGGGAGATTTATCTCACCTTAAACCTGGAAATCTAAACCTAAAATTTGTATATCTTACAGTCAGGATTGAATATAGATAAATCAGGATAGTTGGTCAGTTTTTTTAAGTGATTCTAGAAAAGCAGGTAATTTTTAATTAAAATATTTATTTCCTTTAAACATTTTATGGCTAAAACTTATTCTAACTTTCAAAAACACAGCTATGAAGAAAAACACTGTGTGGTTTTAGAAACAAATGGCACTCTTCATTCTGGATGGGGCTGCCACATACATTTTTCTTCAACATTTATTTTATTCATTCATATTCTCTTTGAAACAAGGTAGCTGGTGCCTAAACATATGCCAAGCTGCCTTGCATGTGAGGCTCTGAAGTCAAAACTGTGGCATCCCCTCTGCGTTTATGGCTGTAAATTCATAGACTCTTTGTTAGTTAACTCCATCTGTTTAATAAGCCTGAAAAAGAAATTGGATGGCGCTCTAGGTATGTCTATGTCTATGGATGGGTGAGACTCTGCAGGAGAGAGCCAGCAGC